GTAAGCATCATAGAGTGCATTAACACAAACCTAGATAGTATATAGCTTACTGCATACCTAGGCTATATGGTGTAGCCTACTGTTCCTAGGCTACAAACCTGTACAGGATATTACTGTACTGAATACAATAGGCAATTGCAACACAATGGTACTTATGTATCTAAATATATTTAAGAAGAGATACACTAGAAAATGTAAAAGGCACAATAAAAATACAATATGAAAGATAAAAAATGGTACACCTGTAAAGGGCATTTACCATGAAGGGAGTTTTCAGGACTGGAGGTTGCTTTGGGTGAGTCAGTGGGTGAGTGGTGAATGAATGTGGAGGCCTAGGACATTACTGTACTATAGACTTTATAAACACTGTACATTTAGACTGCACTAAATTTATAAATAAAGTAATTGAGCTACAACATTACAATGCTATGATGTCATTAGGTGATAGGAATTTTTCAGCTTCATTGTAATCTTATAGGACCACTGTAGGATATGCAGTCTGTCGTTGACCAAAACATCATTATATGGTGTGTAACTGTGTTTACTAAGTTATGTTCTTTTTTGAACTGTTTTTATATTTTGAATTAAAATGAATGAATTAATGAAAAATTACTGAGTCTCTCTTGAGCTCCAGCTTCCTTGTCTTTGCAATAGGACAAATAATAGTATTAATACCTACAGCCTAGGGTACTACTTCAGTGGATTGTGTGGGAGAGTACATGTGGAGCCCTAACCTGGTCTTTCCTTGGCTCATACTGCTCACCAGAGGATGGCAGCTGCCATGGATTGAGGATGTGCTTTGCTCTGCCCAACCTAAACGGTTACACTTCAGTTTGAGGAGTGTCGTCTGATTGATTGTGAAAGTGCCAACAAGGGTGGTTTTCCCTTGCTGGGAAGCAGCGTTCAAAGGATTTTCATAATTTTGTATCTCTTCTCTTTTCCCCAGGCCTCCTTTGTGAAGAGAACATTGACGACTGTGCTGGGGGCCCCCATTGCCTTAATGGTGGTCAGTGTGTGGATAGGATTGGGGGCTACAGTTGTCACTGCCTGCCTGGCTTTGCTGGGGAGCGGTGCGAAGGGGATATCAACGAGTGCCTCTCCAGCCCCTGCAGCTCTGAGGGCAGCCTGGACTGCATACAGCTCACCAATGACTACCTGTGTGTCTGCCGCAGCACCTTCACCGGTGAGAGCCTCTGCAGCCTCCTGGCCACTCTGCTCTGGAGGAGCATTTTAGTGAGAAGTGCAGGTCCTATGACTTTTCCCAGACCCAAATGAAGCTTTTCTTGTATACAAAAAACAAGACCAGCTTAATTAAGGGCCCAGTTTTTTTCCTAGGTCTGTGTGCCATGGATGTTGTAATCAATCTCTACCTTTATTTTTTTCTGAGGGACTCTTTGTTATGCATTGATTAATCACGATATAGCAGGAATATAAAAAAATTGTATGTTGGGAATAGTGGAGCAAAATAGCATTTTTTTTATTGTGGTAAAATACACAAAACCTAAAATTTACCATCTTAACCACTTTTAAGTGTACAGTTCAGTGGCATTTAGTGCATTCACGTTGTTTTTCTGCCATCACCGTCACCCAACCACAGAACCCTTTTCATCTGAGCAAAATAACATTTTGTTTTCAGGAACCTTACGTCTAACTCTGGTTTCCTCACCCTGCGTCCTTCGACATGTAATGAGTTACTGGGTAGTTCCTGCCACTAGAATCTTTCCACCCCTGGAACCCAGAGAAACTTAGGACCTGTTAGGATACTCAAAGGGAACAGGTCCAAATTGGGGTGTGTTTAACCAAAAATCAGTTAATGAGATATGGATAGGAAAGCTCCGGTAGTCACAAATACACCCTCCCCAGCTAAGGCTTGCCCCGGCTCCTTGCTAGTCTTTCTTAAGCTTCTTTCTTTTCATCATAGGACATAAAGATGACCAAGCCCTGCCTTGGGATAGAGGGTTTAACACAGGCACTTATTAGTCACTTCCGGAGAAGAGCAGCATGGTGACTTTTGGGGACTAATATAGTTTCTTGTATCTAGATGTGGCAAGATCATGAGATAGTCAGATTTGAAATCTATCTTGCATTTTCTGGGGTTTGTAGCTGTATTTTTTTTTAATTTTTTTATTTTTATTTCAACATATTAGGGGTGTCCAAATGTTTAGGTTACATATATTGCCTTTGCCCCACCTAAGTCAGAGCTTCAAGCGTGTCCATCCCCCAGACAGTGCACACTGCACCCATTAGGTGTGAATATACCCATCCCTTCCTCCCCCCCCACCTGCCCGACACCGATGAATGTTACTGATATATGTGTACTTAAGTCTTGGTCAGTTAAGTCAGTTAATACCAATTTGATGGTGTAGTTGTATTTTTTATACTGAGGGTATGATCAAGTTCCTTGGGAGTCAGATAATAGGCTGAGGTAGTCTCTTAATAATTTGACAAACTGAACTCTGCTACATCCCGAACCCATCTCTAGCCTTTTTTCCTTCCAATTTTTAAGATATGCTACCTTTAAGAATCTTGGAATTTTATAAAGAATGGGCTGGGGGGTGGATTGTGCAATATGGAAGCTGCCTGGATGCATTAATGTCAAAAGAGAAATATTCCATTATAAACATCGTACCTATTAAGGCAATGTGGGACAGAAAGAGTATGGACAATCTGTCTACAGCAATTTATCAACTATTTACCTCAACTTACAAAAGCTAAAGTGACTTCAATAAGGTGAGGTATGATTTACCTTTTTTTTTTTTTTGGATGGGATTTGAGTCACATTTTACATCCATCCTGCTGTGTGAGTTGGTTAGGAGATGTTTACCACATATTCATATTGTGTAGGCATAACAGAGGAGAGCACTGGTCTGAGTCAGGAATGGACAGTTTTTGTTGAGATCCAGTGAGTGTTTTCTTTGTCTACTCAGATTCTTGTAGGCTCAGAACCTGAACTTCACACCTTTTGTGCCATGCGTGGCTGGTTCCCACTCAGCAGGGTTTTGTTCAGTAGCTTGCCATTACTACTTCCGCCTTTTAAAGCCCCTTTTTATCTTCTGAGGCCGTCACTGTGAAACCTTCGTGGATGTGTGTCCCCAGATGCCTTGCCTGAATGGAGGAACTTGTGCTGTGGCCAGCAACATGCCTGATGGTTTCATTTGTCGCTGTCCCCCGGTAAGTGCCCTGTTGCAGTTTTAAGTGGCCTTCTCCCTTCCATACAACCTGTGACAGAGCTGAAATTAAACCTGGTTTTATCAGGCTCTGTGATGGAGAGGTTTCTTGATTTTAAGCTCTTTCAGAAGAAAGTGCTTGGGTTTTCCCATTTAAAGCTGTTTAGATACTCTTAAGAAACAATGAGCTTCCTAACCTGTGACTGTCAACCTTCAGCAGCACCAAGGGAAAACTACAGGAAGTAGTGTAATGTCCCCTTGGACCTAGGACTGATATCTCTGGCTCGTTGGTGCCATGCTGGAGGGCAGTCTCACTGCCCAGGTTGGACTAGAGTTGGTGGAAACACTGTCTGCTTACATTGTTTAGCAAGACCATTTGGGAGCAAGTTGCCCCTTAATAGAAAGAAGCTTAATTTTAGCTGTTTGCTATAAACTTTTTTGCAACTGCCAGACGCAGAAACCTCCCTAAAACAGAGATCCCTGTGTGGGGGAGATACCAAAAGGAAACCTGTCTAGTAACCTTGGCTTAGACTGAACAGGAAGTACAAAAATGAAGTGAGATGTGGATTATCTAGAAGCCCAAAACTCTCAATATGACTTTTCCCCCAAAATACATTATATGAGTGATTTAATGATTGGAGAAGATACATACACACACAGACACACACACATACACACACATACATATACATACATACATACATATGTGTGTGTGTGTGTGTGTATATATATATAGAGAGAGAGAGAGAGAGATACAGTGTCACCTGATCGCCTGACTTTTATCCCACCATGACCTGTGGACTTAATTTCTAGAAGTGAGCTCTTCAAGTGAGAGAACTCTACATTCATCCCATGGAACCTTCAGCCCTGACCTGTAGGTTGACTTGAAGAGTTCTTTCCTTGAACTTGGTCCAGGAGGCTCAATGGAGGGATCTTAGCCAAGTGCCCCTAGTCTTTATCTCCCTAGTGGTTGAAAGAGAGGGGATTGGGAGGGAAAATGGGATATACCCTCAAGAGTCTGCCTGCCATCCTCATTTCTTCTCTGATTTCCACAGGGCTTCTCTGGGGCAAGGTGCCAGAGCAGCTGTGGACACGTGAAGTGCAGGCGAGGGGAGCAGTGTGTGCACACCGCCTCAGGACCCCGCTGCTTCTGCCCCGACCCCCGGGACTGTGAATCAGGCTGTGCCAGTGGCCCCTGCCAGCACGGGGGCAGCTGCTACCCTCAGCGCCAGCCTCCTTATTACTCTTGCCAGTGCCCGCCGCCATTCTGGGGCAGCCGCTGTGAACTCTACATGGCCCCCACCAGCACCCCTCCGGCCACCTGTCTGAGTCAGTATTGTGCCGACAAAGCCCGGGATGGCGTCTGTGATGAGGCCTGCAACAGCCACGCCTGCCAGTGGGATGGGGGTGACTGTTCCCTCACTATGGAGGACCCCTGGGCCAACTGCTCCTCCCCCCTTCCCTGCTGGGATTATATCAACAACCAATGTGATGAGCTGTGTAACACAGCCGAGTGCCTGTTTGACAACTTTGAATGCCAGGGGAACAGCAAGACATGCAAGTAAGGGATCCAGGTCCTCCAGAAGCTGAGGGGAACTGTCACTAACACACCTTGGTTTCTGGTTCTTGCTTCTAACCACTCCAATGCTTCAGCCCAAGCTGCCTCTGCTTTTCAGATGGTGCCAGCCTTGTCCCATCACACGCTACCCTGTGTTCTCCCTTGCTGACAGAGGGCTGGAAATGCTCATTGCATAATCACCCCCTCTATCTGCCTATCTCTGCCTTCTCACCTGCTGCTCTCGTGACCCAAGGGAAATAACTTTTGGAAGTGGTGTTACCCACTCTCAGGCAGCCTCTCACATAACCTGCCTGCAGGATGGATGGACAGGTCTGTATCTCTCTCTCTTTACCCCATTCCGTTCCCTAAGACTGGTTTTCCCCAGCTAGATTTATCAAGAAACATGAGCTAGATTAGGCCTCTCAACCATTCTGGTCTTTATTATTGCAATTATAGGATGCTTTATGGTTTACATGGTAACTTTCTTGTTAATCATTCCATCTGATGTAGCCCACTTACTTCTTAACAACCTTCTGAGGCATAGGTATTGTTAGTGACCTTTCATAGGTGAGGGAACTAAGGCCCAGGAGGTTAAAGAACTTGCCAAAAGCACATATAGTATTCCTGACTCCTAATCTTTTTTCTGAGCTGTCAAGGCAAATTGTTCCAAATGGTGTAAATATATCAAGGGGTGGGAGGTGGAGGCAGGAGGAGAGGAGGGTATAGATGAAATGGTTTGTGCATTATTTAGTTTGGGGGTTCTAATTCCTTTTTCCAATAGTTGAAAGAGGCTGTGCAAGTTACAGCTGGTATCCTATATGGACATACCTCTCCTCCTTACCTTCTGTAGTTGGGATTCAGTCCTGAAAGGGAAAGAGGCCAAATTGATATAGTTCTCTGTATAGCAACTCTTGTTGGTTCAGGGCTATTTATCCAGTTTCTGGAGGAGCCTTTCACTTCCTACAGGCCATTGTTACCCTATCAGGGGCAGCGGATACAAAGTAGGGAAGCGTGAACCAGGTTGACTTTTGTTTCAGATACGCAGCTTTGTTTAAAAAACTGAAGATTGTGACCTGCCTTGGAGTCCCTAAGCCCCAGCACAGTGAGCACAGTGTTCCTCATTCAGGGAGCGGTCAACAGTGATGAGAGGCATAGACTATGTAGACTCTATGACGTCAGGGATAGGAAATTCAAAGAAAGCTTCACAGGGCATTTGGGTCCTGATATGGGCCGCAGAAGTTGGGTAGGACCATCCACGGTAGTTCCAAATGAAAAACCAAACAGAGCTCCAGTCTAGTCTGAGCCCCTTTCCCTGTTCTCTCCCTCCTTTGCTTCCCCCTACCTAGGTATGACAAATACTGTGCGGACCACTTCAAAGACAACCACTGTGACCAGGGATGCAATAGTGAGGAGTGTGGCTGGGATGGGCTGGACTGTGCTGCTGACCGGCCTGAGAACCTGGCGGAGGGTACCCTGGTTATTGTGGTGCTGATGCCACCTGAACAACTGCTCCAGGATGCTCGCAGCTTCTTGCGGGCACTGGGCACCCTGCTCCACACCAACCTGCGCATCAAACGGGATTCCCAGGGAGAACTCATGGTGTATCCATATTATGGTGAGAAGTCAGCTGCCATGAAGAAGCAGAGGATGACACGCAGGTCCCTTCCTGGTGAACAAGAACAGGAGGTGGCTGGGTAAGGTTTTTGGTTTCTGAACTTCTTAAAGGTTAATTTTATAAAGCTTAGCATTTTGATACACAGTGGAAGCCGTAACTCAACCTACAAAAATGCAAACCTCAGGCAAATGGAATGGCCCACCACTTAAGACAAGCCCATTATCCCAGTACTTCTGTTTCAGGGTGAAGACTTGCCTTGATCTTGGGGCCCTGAAAGGTGAGCTGGAGTGTGCTGCCCACTGCTCCAGCCCCCTCTTTTGACAGAGTTGCTTTAGATTCCTTTATTCGTGACTCCCCTTTCATATTAATCCTTGCCTTATTGTCAGGCCTTTAATTATAAGTCTCTTTGACAAGGGATAATAATCTTCAGTTGCTCTACGATTCACACTCCAGTATTTGTTGGTATATCCCCAAACTTTCAGCCCTCCAGCTAGGTGAGATACAGATGCAGAGACAAAGGAGTATAAGGGCCAAAAATGTGCAGGGGTGTATTTTTAGATAGCACTGAGTACCACTGAGTAGACAGGAAAGGGTGGAAGAAGACCCCCAAAACCTTCAGAAGGAAAGATACCAACCTTACCACTCTTTTTGCTTTGTCAAGTGTTGCCTCCATGAGAAGGCTTAGATCAGCCAGATGAAGGAAGGGGAAATATCTACGACATGAGAATTAGTGTTTAGCACCTGAAGGGACAGCATCCTGATGTCTGTGACCTTTCTGAAGGCAGTGTCCCAACGTGGGGAAGCGTGATGCTGAAGGTGGGGAGGGAAGGCCACGTCACCCTTTGGGACTCACCTGCTGGACCTGCACCCTTCTGTTTCCCCCATTTCCCTTCCTCCTCTTCCCTTGGCATCCCACAGCTCTAAGGTCTTTCTGGAAATTGACAACCGCCAGTGTGTTCAAGACTCAGACCAGTGCTTCAAGAACACGGATGCTGCTGCAGCTCTGCTGGCTTCTCACGCCATCCAGGGGACCCTGTCGTACCCTCTTGTGTCTGTCGTCAGTGAGTGACACTGGTGTGGAGGGGAAGGGTCGGGAAAGTCAGCATTGGGTTATGCTTTTCAACATGCAGCTCTCTCTTTCTCAGGGCTGGTGAGGTCAGAGTTGCCCTCTAAATGATACTAAGAGGTTGATATTTTATTCAGCACTTTCCCCGTCTCTCCTGACTTTCAGGTGAATCCTTGACTCCAAAACGCACTCAGCTCCTCTATCTACTTGCTGTTGCTGTTGTCATCATCCTGTTTATTATTCTGCTGGGGGTAATCATGGCAAAACGAAAGCGTAAGCATGGCTCTCTCTGGCTGCCTGAAGGTTTCACGCTTCGCCGAGATGCGAGCAACCACAAGCGTCGTGAGCCAGTGGGACAGGATGCTGTGGGACTGAAGTAAGAGGCACTGCCAACAAGCCACTGTGCACAGGAATAAGTAGGGATGCATAGAACAGTATATTTCATTGAGTCATTTCAAATTCTAAGCTCTGGACATTGGATCATGCTGACGGTGATTCTTAATGCCTTGTGAGTGACTACGAGACCTCAGTCACAGTCTGAGTCTGGGTTCATCTGTTCCGTACATATTATTACAGTGGTGCTCAGCTTCTGTGTTGAGGCACACTTTAGTTGTAAGCTCTTGCTCAGTGGGAAGGGAAAGGATGAAAGCTCAGGAAATGTCACATAAAATACAGCTTATCCTCTCTGGGCCAAGGCCCTTAAAAGTTGGTATAGCCATGGGAGGGGGTCATGGTAGAAAAAGTGTTGAGAAAATCATTATATTTGTATTAGTTTATGACATCAGCTCTGCTCTTGTTTTTCCCCTTTATAATCAATCACATCAGAAATCTCTCAGTGCAAGTTTCAGAGGCTAACCTGATTGGTTCTGGAACGAGCGAACATTGGGTTGATGATGAAGGGCCCCAACCAAAGAAAGTCAAGGTAAGCTGGCCGTGGTAGAACCACCGTTGTTAGCCATTATCTGGTTGCATTTCAAATTTCTGTCCTTTAGTTCTAGAGTATCCTGAATGGGAGGAAAAGGTCATTATATGTTGCCCCGACTAGCCATCCCAGATTCTCATGAACAGCAGGAATCTTCAGGTCATTGATGACCTTGAGTTTCCGATATACGTTTTTCAAGAAGGAATCTTTAAAAATATTAAAACAAACATGGCTTCTTCCACTAGTGTCATATGACAGTAGTCAAGCCAACTGGTGTGTGCAAATGGGAATTCCTTCATGGCTAGATCGCTCCCTTATCTTCTAATGGGCACTTCTCCTTAAACAGTGAGAGAGAGCCAGTGACCACTGACACTGGAGGCTCCACATCCTGAGCCCTCAAAACTGAGGCCATATAGAAGCAACTGGTAGATTGGGCTGAGGCCGAGGTGAAGAAGGAGACCGTCTGTCCGTAGCTAACCATGGCTGGGAGCCGGTAGAGCAAGATGGTTAAGAACATTGCTTTAGTTACAGTTAGAACTAGATTCAGGTCCAAAACTCTGCTGCTTAGTAGCTGAGAAGTTATTTAACCACTTTGTATTTGATTATCCTTACTTGTAAAATGGGATAATAATAACTCTTTGCTCTGTGAGTTATGAGGATGAAATATAGCAATTGGTGTAATGTACCTTACTTATTTCCTATCACATACTGAGTATTCAGTAAAGGCTAGTTGCTTTTAGATTATCGTAATTATTATCATTCAATAATCTTTTCTGAGTGCTTGCTCCGTGCTGGGTACTGTGTCAAGTACAGGGAGGCAGCCTTGAAGAGGCATATTCCCTCTTCTTGAGAAACTTGCAGTCTGGTGGTAGAAACTGCCATGTAGTGTGACATGGTCAGTTAAGTAAAGGTAAGCAGAGTGTGCTTTCTAGGACCAACAAAAAGTAGTAAAATCTAATTTCTGTTTGGAGGGTAGGTAGAAGTTAGTCTACTGAGAATTGGAGGAGACCATTGCCGGCAGAGGGAACAACATGGGCAAAGGCTCAGAAGCAAGAATATGGTGCTTTGGGGATCTAGAAGTAGCATTTTAACGCTAAAGCCTAGAGTTTGGGATGGAGAGGTGGGGAGAATTGTCCAGATGATGCAGGAGCGGCAAGCAGGAACCACATCAGCAAAGCAGTGGGAAGCCGAAGTGGATAGTCAGAATAGGAAGAGAGAGAAAATTGGATGGGAGATGAGGAAAGGAGGTAGGAGACTGTAACCAACTCCTCATCAGCAGTTTCTGGAGGAGGTCAGATTGAGAAGGGAGCATTGTTTTCCCCTTTCAGGCTGAAGACGAGGCCTTGCTCTCAGAAGAAGATGACCCCATTGATCGACGCCCATGGACACAGCAGCACCTGGAAGCTGCAGACATCCGGAGGACACCGTCATTGGCCCTAACTCCTCCTCAGGCAGAGCAGGAGGTGGATGTGCTGGATGTGAACGTCCGGGGCCCAGGTCAGCGCCAGACACTGTCCCCTCTTCATTAGGCTGTGCTTGCCCTTGTTTCTGCATTGCTGTCCTGTGTTTGCCCCACCTGACCATATGTCTCTTCCCATTTTCACAGACTCTAAATCAACTTGAGGAAATGAATGCTTAAAGAATACGGACATGCATAAATTATGAACTTAGAGGAAAGGGGAGGATTTCACATTGCTTCATATGCAGTGTGTTGAGACTAAACAGGCTGATTAAATGGGTTAGATTTTAGTAGATAGAAAAGTAATACCCCAAAGCAGAGGATAGAAAATTGATACCTTATACATATAGTTCTATTAATATTAGATATTTTTAAATGTCCAATTTAAAAGAACATAGCACTTGAACAGAAAAGCTTAACTTAGAGAAGAGCCCCCAGCTTCAAAAAATTCATACTTTCTCATTACTCTTTACAGAAATGACATTATCAGAGGAATAGCGAGTGGCAGATATAAAATTAATTGCCAGTTACCACAAGAAGTACAGGAATTTTTTGCCCCTGAGAATAATTTTACTCAAATGGAACCATTCCAACAATAGGGTTAACTCCTTTTCCTCCTTGAATACCTTTTGGAATTTTCCTTTCCTACAGATGGGTGCACGCCGTTGATGTTGGCTTCTCTCCGAGGAGGCAGCTCAGATATGAGTGATGAAGATGAAGATGCAGAGGACTCCTCTGCCAACATCATCACAGACTTGGTCTACCAGGGTGCCAGCCTCCAGGCCCAGACAGATCGGACTGGTGAGATGGCTCTGCACCTTGCAGCCCGCTACTCAAGGGCCGATGCTGCCAAGCGTCTCCTGGATGCAGGCGCGGATGCCAATGCTCAGGACAACATGGGCCGCTGCCCTCTACATGCTGCAGTGGCAGCTGATGCCCAAGGTGTCTTCCAGGTAAAGAACATGAGAAGAGTTGGTTTGAATAATAAGAATTCCCTATGGCTTTATGATGTTTTATCTTTTTAAGGCACTAATATCTCATCGAAGTATTAAATTATTTGAGAGATTAGGGCAGGTGTTAAGAGTCATGCTTCCTAGAAGGGAAAGCAGGAAAAGGGAGGCAGGCAAACTGACCTAGGTATATACAGTCATTGTGTTAGAGACAACAGCAGATAACACCAGTTTTCTGGTAATTGTCAGTGATATTTTGGTTTGCCAAGATGCTTCCCAAATGCATGTATCAGATGAGAATGATACCTGTTCTAAAACCTTTCACTAGTATCATACAGTTACTCTCTGTAGATTCGCCTGACTATGTGGGCTTCTAGCTGCTCATTGGCAATTTTCTTTTTTTTTTTTACATCTTTTATTTTTAATTAATAATTAAAAATAATTAAAAAGTATGGTACATAATAGTTTTATATCTTTATAGGGTGCATGTGATGTTCTGATGCAGGCATACAGTGTGAATTAATCAAATCAAGATAATTAGGGCATCTACCACCTTAAGCATTTATCATTTCTTTGTGTTAGGAACATTTCAATTCCACTCTTCTAGTTATTTTAAAGTATACCCTAACTTATTGTTGATTATAGTCACTTTGTTGTGCTATCAAATATTGTTCATTCTATCTAACTAACTATATTTTTACACCCATTAACCATCCCTACTTTATCCCCCATCCCTGCTACCCTTCCCAGACTCCGGTAACCATCATTCTACTCTCTGACTCCATGAGACCAGTTGTTTTTAATATTTAGCTCCAACATACGAGTGAGAACATGTGAGATTTGTCTTTCTGTGCTTGGCTTATTTCACTTAATGTAATGTTCTCCGGTTGCATTCATGTTGTTGCAAATGGCAGGATTTCATTCTTTTTGTGACTGCATAATATTCCACTGTGTACATGTACAATTTCTTCCATTCATCCATTGATGAACACTTAGGTTGATTCAAATCTTGGCTATTGTGAATAGTTCTGTAAACATAGGAGTGCAGATTATCTTTTCGATATACTGAATTCTCCTCCTTTGGATATATACCCAGCAGTGGGATCACATGGATATATACCAGCTGTGTTACATGGTAGTTTTCTTGACATGAGGTCATAGCATACTCCCTGATGCCCTTTTATTTTATCGTTATGAGGAAATTGGAAGCATTCTGAACGACCTTAGACTGTACACTGTGACTGAAGTTGTGATCCCACATCCCTCTTCTTTTCTTAGAAAATAAAAGACTCATCACTTTACGTGGGCCATTTTGCCTTGAGCACCCATTTGTTGGTTTATTTATTCATTCAACAAATAGTTGTTGATTGGCCATGATAGAATCTTGGGCACAAAGATAACAAGACTTTCCCTGCCCTCCAGGAACTTACAGTGTAGCCTTTGCTCTGTTGCCCTTGTTTCCTCTCTGAGTTTCATTATTTTCCTTCATCCAAGTGACTCTTTTTTCTGTACTTTCTCCTTATCTAGATTCTGATCCGCAACCGAGTAACCGATCTAGATGCCAGGATGAACGATGGCACTACACCCCTTATCCTGGCTGCCCGCCTGGCCGTGGAAGGAATGGTGGCAGAACTGATCAACTGCCAGGCAGACGTGAACGCAGTGGATGACCATGGTAGGGACGAGAAGCAGGGGTTTGGCCTCTTACCTGCAGAGCATACCTCTGAGGAGGAAAATGATCCTTAAAGAACTGTCTCAGATCTGGATCCATTGGCGATTCACTCATTCTTTCATTTATGCATTCATTCGTTCATGTTGAGCCCAGAGAACTGACTTGTGGGAGGTCCCTAATTAAGATGAGAACAGAAGCCAGGCAGGCGTGGGGGTGCACACCTATATTCCCAGCTACTTGGGAGGCTGAGACGGGAGGATCTCTTGAGCCTACCAGTTCCAGTCCAGCCTGGGAAAGCAACATGGCAGGACTCTGCCTTTTAAGAAAAACAAAAAATTAGTAAAAAGATGAGAAGGTATTTTTTTAGTGAGAGTTTTTGGATCTTAAAGCAGGTCCATGAAAGGTTTGCTGTGTAGTTTCCTAGGCATACCACTCTTGATAAGAGGATTTATAAGAGCTGACTTCACTGAGAGAGTTGTGGGATATCCTAAATATACATTCTGGCATGTAATAAATAAATAAATAGATTATTGCCTTCATCTGCCATGTGGAGGACATGGATACCTCATACAAGTGATCCTTCCACCTACAGGTCTTCTGAAGGCTGTGCAGCCTGTACTGAAGTATTTCTAAAACAGAGGAATGGAAGATACTACTTTTTCCTATAGGCCCCCACAGAGAATTGGCTTTCTGCTGATCTCTGGAGAGTTCAAGGTTTCCTTGTACTAATCATACACATCACGGTGCTTTATATTAAGAGTAGGATATGTCTGCTTATAAAAATGTTTTTGCCCTGCAGGAAAATCTGCTCTTCACTGGGCAGCTGCTGTCAATAATGTGGAGGCAACTCTTTTGCTGTTGAAAAATGGGGCCAACCGAGACATGCAGGACAACAAGGTACAGTGTGTGGGCCCTGAGCTTGAGAAGGCTCGTAGCAGTGCCCCAGTTACGAGGCCCCTGCCTTTCTCTTATAGCTTCTCTTGTGGTACATACAGCAAAGATGGAAGCAGGTTGGGCAGGAACTGGGAGAGCTTGATGGAGGATGTTGGGCTTATCCAGGGGAGTGTCAGGATTGAGCCTCTGCCCACTCAGTGCTTGGCTTGCACCAGTCTGGCCTGGAGATAAGGCCTGCAACCTTGCCTGCCTTTTCTGTGTCCGACGTTGCCTTTTCTCCAGTTCTCTCTTCTGTTCACGCTTGCTCCCTTTTCTCTTGTTTGTTTTCTTCATTTTTTTTCCTGCTGTTCTTTTTTTTTCTGTCCTCAGATACCATGAAGTTTTCCTCTTTGGCTTTCTTTCTCTGAGTTTTTTGTAATGTTCCCACTCTCATTCATCTTCTCTCATTTACTTCCTCTTTCCCCTTATTTTAGTTCTTTCTTGCACAAGTTTTATGTCGTCTTTCCTTGACTCTTTCTCTTATTTTTCTCAGTTCTGTGCATGCTTTAATTTCTTCTCTTTATACCTTTCTTACTTCTAATTCCTTTTCCCATTAAAAACTTATTTTGATAAGCTTAGTACTCTTTTAAATGAGTCTCTGGCTCAGCATATGCATTATTTTATGAATTCCCAGCTGAAGAGATGTCCCTAAGGGGCAAAATTGGTTTTGAGGGAGAGCTCTTTTGATGTATAAATCACAGGTATACACTCAGTACATAGGGAGATACACAGCCTAATCTGTGCTATTGATATTTCATGGCAGAGACAATTAAAAAATGTTTAAGGGGGTGATAATAAGGAAGGTTGAGAAACCCTGCTATATTCTCAAGAGTATTATTAAAATGTATTCTGTGGCGGCCGTTTTCTGTAGGAAGAGACACCCCTGTTTCTTGCTGCCCGGGAGGGGAGCTATGAAGCAGCCAAGATCCTGTTAGACCATTTTGCCAATCGAGACATCACAGACCACATGGATCGTCTTCCCCGGGACGTGGCCCGGGATCGCATGCACCACGACATTGTGCGTCTCCTGGATGAGTACAATGTGACACCGAGTCCCCCAGGCACGGTGCTGACTTCCGCTCTCTCCCCTGTCATCTGTGGGTCCAACAGGTCTTTCCTCAGTCTGAAGCACACCCCAATGGGCAAGAAGCCTAGACGGCCTAACACCAAGAGTACCATGCCCACTAGCCTCCCTAACCTTGTTAAGGAGGCCAAGGATGCCAAGGGTAGTAGGAGAAAGAAGTCTCTGAGTGAGAAGGTCCAGCTCTCTGAGAGCTCAGTGACGTTATCCCCTGTTGATTCCCTAGAGTCTCCTCACACATACGTTTCTGACACCACATCCTCTCCAATGATCACATCCCCTGGAATCTTGCAGGCCTCACCCAACCCTATGCTGGCCACTGCTGCGCCCACTGCCCCAGTCCATGCACAGCATGCACTGTCTTTCTCTAACCTTCATGAAATGCAGCCTCTGGCTCATGGGGCCAGCACAGTGCTTCCTTCAGTGAGCCAGTTGCTGTCCCACCACCACATTGTTCCCCCAGGCAGTGGAAGTGCCGGGAGCTTGGGTAGGCTCCATCCAGTCACAGTCCCAGCGGATTGGATGAACCGCGTGGAGGTGAACGAGACCCAGTACAATGAGATGTTTGGTATGGTCCTGGCTCCAGCTGAGGCCACCCACCCTGGCATGGCTCCCCAGAGCAGGCCGCCTGAAGGGAAGCACATGGCTGCCCCCCGGGAGCCCTTGCCTCCCATTGTGACTTTCCAGCTCATCCCCAAAGGCAGTATTGCCCAACCAGCTGGGGCCCCCCAGCCTCAGGCCAACTGTCCTCCAGCTGTTGCGGGCCCCCTGCCCACCATGTACCAGATCCCAGAAATGGCCCGTTTGCCCAGTGTGGCGTTCCCCACTGCCATGATGCCCCAGCAGGATGAGCAAGTAGCTCAGACCATTCTCCCAGCCTATCATCCTTTCCCAGCCTCAGTGGGCAAGTATCCCACACCCCCTTCACAGCACAGTTATGCTTCCTCAAATACTGCCGAGCGAACACCCAGTCACAGTGGCCACCTCCAGGGTGAGCATCCCTACCTGACACCATCTCCAGAGTCCCCTGACCAGTGGTCAAGTTCATCACCCCACTCTGCTTCTGACTGGTCAGATGTGACCACCAGCCCTACTCCTGGGGTTGCTGGAGGAGGTCAGCGAGGACCTGGGACACACATGTCTGAGCCTCCACACAGCAACATGCAGGTTTATGCGTGAAAGAGTCTGCCTCCAGTGTAGGGACAAAACTGCCTATTGTAAATGCTGCTGAGGAACAAATGAAGGTCATCCGGGAGAGAAATGAAGAAATCTCTGGAACCAGCTTCTGGAGGCAGGCAAGAGAAGATGTTCATATTTTTCAGATAATGCAAAAGAAGCAATTTATTAGTTTCACTGGGTATCTGCAAGGTTTTTTGGGGGGGGGGACATGGCTCCTTCGAATCTCTTACTCATCAAGCCAAGTTCATGAAAATGCAGAATGAATACAAGCCTTGGGCCATGTTTAATATTTGGAGAATAAGATGGATGCCTGTTGTAGCCCAGATATTCTTGCAGCTTGGACTACATCTTAAGCCCTCGGGGTTTCTGCCATATCCATGAGAAGATGCTACACTAGAGTCCTATTGGGAATTGTGCCCGGGAATTCTACGTGCGTTGACCTACCTTCTCATCCTTGGAAATTCCTTCAACTTCATTTGGTGCTTTCACTTTTGCACCTCTCCGTGATTGTAGGCCTACCAGCATATTATAGGGCAAGACCGCTGTGCTTTCAATCATTCCTGCCCTGGAAAGCAACTTAAGCAACTTCAGCCCCCTTTTTCCCCTCCTGTTTTCCCAGCATCCCTCAGTGTCTCACAGTTTACTTTGATTGTGGTTCTCAGCATAAACCTTTCAAGTATGTTTTTTTAGAAAATATTGTATTGTGTTCTTCTACATATATCATTCCTGGAGAGAGAAGAGGAGCAGAATATTTTTCTTCAAACCAATTTTTAGGGTAGAAGATCCCTTCAAGAGGCTGTACCTTAATTTCTCTTGTCTCAGTGCAGGTCTTCATATAAACTTTGCCGGGAAGGATATGAGTCAGTTGTTTTTCTCTTTGTGGGCCTAGTCAGTGTGAGATTTTGTCCTTGGTAGCCTAGTTACTATGACACCCCGCCTTTTTTAAACCAGAAAAAGGGTTGGAATGTTGGAATAACCAAGAGATAAGCTAACGTGCAAGGAACAGTTACCCACGCACAGGTCCCTCCACTTACTGCCAAGCATGCCACTGACTGCCAGTTGAAACACGTTTTTCCCAGATCTTAGAACCCTAGGCCTGTTTCACTTACTCATCCAGCAGATCAAACTAGTCTTAGCTATTGAGCCTTTCCTTCCATCTCCACAGAAGAAAATGTCTCAAATGATAACCCTTGCCGTTTAGGACTGAGCTTTCCTCAGCCCAAGAGACCCAGTGACAGTCATCTTCCTTTCATTGGTGATCACAGTCTGTACTTCCTGATTCTCTCTCGGATTGAAGGCTTGTTCACCAGTCTTCCCTCCACACTGTGGTCTGAGTTACTGGTGCACCAGTAGGTCCCCACTGAAGACATGGATTGTCTGTGTTCAAGTGCAGGAAATGGAAAGCTGGACTAGTTTTCTGGGGTCCAAGACAGCCCTGTAAGAAGGTTGGGAAAGGAAGAATATGAGGCAGCCTTTGCTATTTTTTGCGACCGTTTCTTTTCCTCTGAAGCAGTCATGAAATTCCCTTTGACAACTAACTTAGAAACTTACCAGGGATGCTGTCCTTTCCTTAGAGTCACCTTCTCAATGATTAATGGACAACTACAGACTTGCTCATCATTGTCATCCTTATGTTCAGACTATGATTGCACCTCCCCCGAATCTGTTGTCTGTGTTTGTGGTCTTGGCAGCCCTTGATTCTCTTTCAAGGGCAGAAGCATTTTAGTTAACTGTAGAAATAGGAGAAAGTTTTGTTCCTGTTCTCCCTGGGTTAGTTAATAATTGGTCCTATGGCTACATTGTCATCTCTATCCAGTGCTATGATGCTCATGACACCTGGGCAACTAGTTCTGCTGGGGCATTTTGTAGATATTAATAGGTGAAGTGCCTACTCTGTTTTGGTTTCAATGAGTTCTCATTCCTGCTATGGCTGGAGGTGTACAACAGTGCTCCCCATGTATCTGACCAATCTTTCTGAGGCCCCCTATGGAAACCCTGGGTTTCTGTTGGGATGTCAAACAAATGGTTTTTGCTGTCCCATCCAAGCTAATTAAACCAGCAAAAATAACTAGTTCTGCCCTAATATAAGCAGATAAAGTTTGTTCATTTTGTTTTATTCTCTCACGTGGCAGTATTCTACCAGCCTTTTTCATAGTGTGCAAACATTTTATCATTGTAAATGGTGGCTTTCTACCTTTGGACCCATTTATTATTCCCAGCTGGGGAGAACCTATCTGCACAGACCTCTCTGGACCACAATACATCTGCCCCCTCTGCCCTCCTGCTCCAGCCCCATTTCCTGAAAATATCAGCCTCTGACCAGCTGTTTGGATCTTTTATACCCTCCTTCCTCCCCAAGCACAATATAGGGTTAACTTACTTGTTTCTTTTTCTTGGGATACTTTAATTTGGATCCTTTGGGTTTGGGGGAGGGCAGTGTGAAAGCTGTCATGACAGACAACAGGCTTCAGTGATGAGCAGGACAACACTGCCTTTCAAACATTTTACCAATCTTAAATTTTAAGAATTCTTTGAATTGTGTAGTAACTAATAAAAGGGAAGGTAAGATGGATAATCACTTTCTCATTTGGGTTCTGAATTAGAGACTCAGTTTTTATGGGACACATTTTTATGCCATATATAGATCCTCCCCTATTTTTGGTTAATTATTATTTTTATAAATTCTTCCTTTCTTTGACTCCTCTTGCCTGTCTTTGGGGATAGGTTTCTTTGTTTGTTTGTTTCTTACGTTTTAAGTATCATTTTCTGATTTATGTGATGGTGGAGGAGGGAGAGGTTTGAGGGAAAGAAAGACTGAGAGTTAAAGAATTTAGTGTAAGCAGTCAGCTATGATGCTCAAGTCCATTATATCATCTTATTATTAAATTTTCCAGTTTCTTGCATAGAAAAGAACCAAAGGTATAATATTTTGTTGGCAGGTGGTTTGGGGATTTGGGTCTTAACCAATATATTGAATGTATGATGACTATTTGGGAGGACACGTTTATATGCCCTGAGGCCCCCCACTAATAATTGGTACTATGATGACTTCCTTGTGTACATTTCCCTTAAAAGTGGTATTATATCTGTTTGTATGAGAAACCTAATAACCACAAAATGACCGCATATTCCTGACTATACATAGTAAGGAAAATGTACAACTTTGTTTTTACTTTTCAAAGTTTCATTCTAAAAGTAGTTAAGATGAAATTTATATGAAAGCATTTTTATCACAAAATAAAAAATGTTACATGTCAAGCTCAGTGTTGTTGCACTTTTTATTTTCCAATCCTGCATCCCTGGCCTTGCAATGACTACCTCATGATGTCCTAATTTGCTGAGAGAGAAATAATTTTCTTTTCATTCTGAATTCCACAGGGCCTAGCATTACGCTTCTTTCTTCTTCCTTTAGTCAGATCGTAAATAATGCTTTTGAGGGAAAAAGCATCTATCTAATAGGAAGCATCGTAAGGCTGGGCACTCTTCTGTGCACTTGCCATAGCTGGTGACAAACGGATGGATGCTTAAGACAAAGTGCCTTCCAGTGGGAATGAAGAGTATTTGCTACAGCAAGAATTGAGAATCGGCAATAGGCAATGTTAATGATGCTGTTACCTAAACCATTGGTTTGTAAGATTCCTCAAATATTGTATAGAACTTAATATATGGGATTATAACATCATATTTTTCATATAAATTTGTGAATGTGTAACCAAGTTCACATTCACACATGTACTCATTAAAGTCCATCAGTGAGACATTCGAACATGAATATTTGGTGCTGGTAGTATGTTTGGCCTTAGCAGTCTTATGTCAACTTTAGCATCTTATTTCCGTATTCCGTTATTTTGCAGAAACTTCTGAATCACACAGGCATAATTATAAATTGTAAGAGTATTTTTTAAAACAAGTTGACTTGAAATAGGACATGCTTCTGTTAAGCAGGTAAAGTAGCTGTATTCTAAGACCTGCATAAATATGTTTTAACACAATTAGTAACATTTATTGGTTATCCCCAGAGTGTTTTAATTTTATATAAAATGGATTTGAGTCTTCATGTTGGGTTTTATAATGGTGGAGGAAGAAAATGAATTCGAGAGCTAGGGAAGGACTACCTCTAAAGGCCAGTCTCTCAGAGCTGGAGGTGACTCTTATGGACTATTAGGGAAGTAAAACTTACGCTGTGAAAATCAACTTCAGTAGATGTGGGTGCAGGCCACTGGGTCACTAACCACATCCTACCCCTGCAATTGTAAGGCTTAAAACCTCACCCTTGATCGTGCAGGGAGGATTCAGGGCTCTCCCAGCTGTGAAAGCCAAGGACGGGAGCAGAGCTGAGGCCGTGCTGCCCCATCGCACAGCTAGAGCAGTAGGCTTGGGCACTGGACCATGAGCATGCAGAAGAGGGGTGGGTGCCTCTCTGTCATGCAGCTAAGGAGCTCACAGCCCAAGGGGAGGGGCTGGTTCCTTTTTCAGAACAACCCTCCTTAATGCTCGCATGCTGTCCAGAATGTGGGCAGTGAGAACTGTGAGCCTGTTACTGCCTCTGCCACTAAATTTTCCAGCCATAGGGTGTGTGTCAGGGTGTGCATGTATAGGTGTAGGTGTATGAGTGTGTGGAACAGAATACAGCTCTCCCTTCTTTTGACTTAGAGCTCAGCAAAATACATTTAAAACAGCAGTCCCCAACCTTTTTGGCACCAGGGACTAGTTTCATGGAAGACAATTTTTCCACGGCAGTGGGGGTGGGTTGTGGCAGGGAGGCAGAGCTCAGGTGGTGATGTGAGTGATGGTGACCACTTGTAAATACAGATGAAGCTTCACTGGCTCTCCCACTGCTCTCCTCCTGCTGTGTGGACCCCCAGTTCCTAAGTTTCATTGAAGACAATTTTTCCAAGGACGAGGGCCATGGGGGTGGGGGCGGGCAGTGGAGGTGGGGCACGGCTCCTGCAGCCCAGTCCCTAACAGACCATGGACTGTAACCAGTCCGCAGCCTGGGGGTTGGGGACTGGAGATTTAAAACATTTGCACCGGTCAAGTCCCAGTTGCAACGTGTGGGCACACTCATATTAGGATAAATCAAAGAGGGCTATTTACAAAATACCTAATAAAACCCTATAGTAACTGTCATTATAGAGTTTTACATGTAAGAATGGGAGAGAAGGTTGATAAGACCTGAACAATCCAAGAAAACTTCCTGGAAAACTGCCATAAACCATTAAGGATTCAGTAAATAAAACGATGTAAAATTAATTCACAGAAACCTAATTTATTATAAACAAAAACCAGTTGGAGCATGTAATTGAAAAGAAGACCACAATCACAATGGCAAACACACACACACACTATACACACATCTCCCATCCAATAACCTTTTAAAAAATTGCAAACCTGGAGAAGAGGCTTCAGATGGCTGACTAGAGGCTTCTGGTACTCGTCTCCTCCACAAAGAAGAACCAAAACAGCAAGGAGATGATCACATTTCCAATAGATCATCTAAGAACACGGAATTCAACAGACGAGTGACGGGAAACCCCTAAGGCAAGGAAGGAGAGGGAAGTGAGGCCATTTGTTGGGCTGGGATCAGCTGTGGAGCCCAGAGAGTCTCCCCAATATGGGGAAAGGGTAAGTGAGAGACCACCCAGTGGTCCACATTCCCATCACGGACTCCTGCAATCCTAACCACAGGGGAACCCATAGAGAGCTGCCTGGAGACCACATGATGGCACTGCTTCAGAGAGGGAACCCACGCTGTTCCCACACACCCTCGAGGCCTAAGCAGCTACGGCAAGACATCATTTTGAGAGCTCAGCCCCCACCAGACTGCATCCTGCCCTGGGGCCCAATAGCCCCTGTATCTCCACATCTTTGGTGTCCCATTAACATCCTACCTCCAAAGCCACCCCCGCTGCTGACTGTTGTACAAGGCATTGGCAGTGACCCCACCTGCCTCCAGAAGTGGGCTTATTGCACACTTACAAGCATGCCAAAGACAGACTACCATACCCACAGCCACCACCTGGGGCCAAGGCATGCTCTCTTCAACCACCTGCCTACTGCTGCTGCTGAGAGCAATCCTGCCCTCCCCAGCAGCAGGGTCACAGTGCACCCACTGTCACTTCTACCCGAGCATTCTGCCAGTGATGGGATAAACCCACCCCTGTCTAGCATACCCAGTGCCCACACTCACCACTCAGGGGCCTGAGGATACGCCTGCCCGGCCCAGAACTGCCCTCCCAGTGCCCAAACACACTGCTGGAGGACCACTCTGCCCCATCCACCACCTTTGGTACCTGAGCACTTCTCCTGGGGGCCTGAGGATGGAACCAACCAACCTGTCACTACCACCACATATGGCACCCACCTGCACATAACCACCTGTGAACCCAGGAACTGGCCCAAACATTAGTACAGACTGGGAGCCAGAGAGTTTTCCCACCACTGCTACTGCCATGCCCACTGCCCAGGGGCCCGAGGACCCAGCCACCCACCTCTCCCACTGTTGCTATTGCTGGCATCTGGGCAAGCTCTCTGGAGGCCCAGGAATCACCCTACCTCGATCTACTAGCACCAGTACCAGCATATGCTGCCCTGGGGTACAAGGATCGGCATATTTGGCTCACTCACTGATGCCACCACTTGGACCCAAGGACTGGCCCACCTGTCATCCTCATTCCCAGCAAAATGTCACCACAGCTTCCTCTAACAACTGCACCTTAAGCCACTGGGAAAATAACAGACACCGCTGATGCTGTTTATGGACAAGTCATACAGAAACTACACTACTACATGGCGCCCAGAAGCAAAGCCAAAATATCCTACCCAACCAACACCAAGATACATCTTCAGTAAAAAGTCTTCCCCTACAAAAGCAAATTTAAAAAATTGGAAAAAGCAACGGTTACACTAGAGGTGCAGATATCAATGTAAGGACACAAGAAACATGAAAAAGCAAGTAAATGTGACACCTCTAAAGGAACACAATCATTCTCCAGGAACAGTTAAAAAGAAATTTATGAAATCCCAGAAAAAGAATTTAAAAAATTATATTTAAAATGCTCAATGAGATACAAGAGAACATGGATAAGCAATACCAAAAAAAAAAAAAATCAGAAAAACAATTCAGGATATGAATGAGATATTTGCTAAAGAGCTAGGCATCATAAAAAAAGAACCAAACAGAAATTCTAGTACTGAAAAATTCATTGAATGAAATAAAAGATGTATTTGAAAGCTTCAAAAATAGGCTAGATCAAGCAGAAGAAAGAATTTCAGAACCTATTTAACAAATAATAGCCGGAAAAATCCCAAGTCTAGCAAGAGATTTAGATATCCAGATACAGGAAGCTCAGAGATATCCAAAGAGATACAATTCAAAAAGGTCTTCTGCACAGCACATCATAGGAAAACCATGTAAAGTCAAATACAAAGAGAATTCTACAAGCAGCAAGAGAAAAGTGTCTAGTCACTTATAAGGGAGCCCCCATCAACCTAACAGATTTTTCAGCAGAAATTTTACAGGCCAGGACAGAATGGGATGATATATTCCAATGCTAAAAGGAAAAAAGAAAAAACACCTTTCCATCAAGGATACTATACCCAATAAAGTTATCCTTCATAAATAAAAGAGAAATAAAGTCTTTCCCAGGCAAGCAAAGGCTGGTGGAATTCATTACCACTAGACAGGCCCTATAAGAAATGCTTAAGGAATTCCTATACCTGGAAGAAAAAGGCTAATATCTACCATCATGAAAACACATGAAAGTATAAAAGCCACTGGTAAAGCCAACATACAAATAAGAAAAGAAAGGACTCAAATGTTACCACTACAGAAAACCACCAAACCACAGTGATAAACAATAATACAGGGGGGAAAAGGAACAAAGTATATACAAAACAACCAGAAATCAATTAATAAAATGACAGGAATAAGTCCTCCCATATCAATAATAGCCTAGAATGTAAATGGATTAAACTTTCCACTTAAAAGATATGGACTGGCCAAATGTATGAAAAAAACATGTCCCAATTATATGCTGCCTACAAGAAACTCATCTATTAAGACACAGAGACTGAAAAGAATGGAAAAAGGTATTCCATGCAAACAGAAACCAAAAGCCAGCAGGAGTAATACTTAGATCAAACAGACTTTAAGTCAAAAACAATAAAGAGAGACAAAGAAGGCCATCATATTAATATAATGATAAAGGGATCAATTCAGCAAGAGGATATAACAATTTTAAACATATATCCAATGCCATGA